TTTATCATTAGTGTCTAATACATGAAAGAGCAGAGCCAAAGTTTCCCTTGGATCATTTTCTCCCGTTTGCAGATGCACAGCCAAGAGGAGTCACAGAGGCTAACTCACTGGGAAGCTCATGAAGCTTCAACTTCCAGCTCTCCACTTTCACAGGCCTCTACTACTATCCTAGGCAGTCCCTAGTAATGTGTTCACTTGGTCAGATATATTTCTAAAATGTGCAGATTTGTTCTGTTTCTTTTTCTTAAAGAGGCCCCCATTATGTAAGCTTCTGGCCACATAAAACTCAGAATCACCCAGGGATGTCACCCAAGGTATTAGAGTGACATACATATAAAATACACAGTTTGTATTTAGGGTCCTCTGCCTCTTCTGAGTACTTCTTTGGCCTGTTTCTCTTTCCCTTGATCAAAACCTGCTCTTGGGAAAGGGCCTTCTATTTGATGTTAGCACCATAGGAGGACTCTAAACCTGTGTAGTTTACATCTTCGTGGGTTATTTACATTTTATACCCTCATAGTACTGTAGAATGAAAGATTATTTTTCTAAAATGAAATATCCAGCATTAGCAAACAGAGTGCAATGTTATTTTTAGCCACAAAGAGATCTTCCCTTCACACCTACACACAGACCCAGAAGATAATCTCCTGCTATGTCTACATGTAGGCAGAGCCCATTTATGGCTGCCTAAATCAATTTCTACCTATTCAACACTACCCTACAAAGTCAGTAGCACATTAGATTCTCCTGTTATTAGACAAATGTGAATGAGACAAAGACATTACTTCCGTTACACTTCTTCCATTATTTGACTCTGCTCACTCATCTTTCCCTCCCTGCCGGCCTTCCTCCCTCTAACATTTATTGAGCACCTGCTACGTGATAAGCACTGGGGTAGACACTGGAACTCTGAATTAAGCATTCAACATTACTGAGTGAATGAGTAAATTAATGAATGAATCAATCACATACTGATTTCTGTGGTGATACTGCTGTTCTTGCCCTAGTAATATCTTTTCATTTTTGCAGTTTGCTTCATTAGAGAAGGTTAACGATATCACTGTCCTCCTTTTTCCTTGTGAGTTCAGTTATTTTATGACCCTGAAGAATAACTATTATTCTTTTACCCTCCTCCCCCTTTATATACTAAGAGGCTCAAAAAAGTAGGTAAATCAGAAGGTTGATTGAGAACATTTCTTTTTTGATCTATTAATTACTTTAAAAGAATTAAATATTCTTCTTCCTTACCTACTTCCATGATCCTGCAACTAAGATATATCGGAAAAAGTGGCATAATGTTACTGCATTTATTGAGACTTCAAAGGAGTTAACCTTATTAAATATTATAAATGATCATAAGCAATGATGATAATAACAAAAGAATGATCACAGTTATATTAGGAACCATATAAACCATCCCCTCTACCATGTACATCTACAACCAGGGGCCCTCTGATTGCACTTTAAGAAAAACTCTATAAATATGCAGTTGTCTACCCTTTAGGTATTAGCTTAAATATTACTTCCTCTGGAAGGACTTCTTATCTTTTTCCTCCCTGAGAAGGTAGATATTTCCCACTATGGGCACCCATAGCACCTGATATGTCCCTATAATGGGAGACATCACATCTTACTCTCATTGCCTGCTTCATTAACTATTTTCCCACTAGACCATAAGGTCTACAAGGAGAACCACCACATCAGTCTTGCTTACCATTTTATCCTCAGGGGTCTGGCAAATACTGAGAATGTTATAGCCAACTGATAAATAAAGGAAGAAAGGGGAGAAAAAAGAAAGGGAGGAAGGAAGAAGAAATTTTTCAACTATTAGGGAAGCCAACTGTTCAGTTTATTTAGTATTCAAAATGCAATCATATGGATAGTGCTCTTGGATATACTTCCCTTATGACTGAGATTTCACCAACTCCTTCCTGTGCTTATTGAATTGCTGAAAATAATATCAGAAAGTGTTATTTCCTCCTCTGATTCCTCTAGGACATGAAGACACAAATCATTGAGTCCAAGCGACTTAAGCCAAAGTGGTTCTTCTTGGTTCTTATGTCATTGTTTTGGAGTCAGCCCAGCTCTCCACACTGTACTATACCATCTGTACTGCATCCTCAACATCTCTCATTTTCCCATCTGACTCTTGCCTGTATTGTTAGATTCTCAACTCTTTTCCCTTGACTCATCTCCCAAAGTACAGATGATTATCCTCATTCTAATGGAAGGGAGAGAGAGTGGGGTTCATCCAAAGAAGTAGGTTGTCCAAACATTGTCTCTGTTTAGCTTTCAAAAGCATCATGTAGGTTTTCATATTATAAGAATTCGCCCACTGCTCAGAAAACTGACAATTCTTATAAGTGGCAGTCCAAATTTGTAAACCACAGCTGTTTTTAGCAATTGAGTTACTGTATTTCAGGTGCCAAAAATATCACCTATCATATTCTCCAGGGATCAAAGAAAAAGGAAAGAGAAAAAAGAGCAAAAAACAAGTTAAAGGATAAAGGTAGCATGAAGCTTCTCCAGTTAAGTAAATTATTAAAAATAACTACAGTAACTGAAATCACAGTAGTAATAACATTAAGAACTAGCATTCAACAGCAATTAACAGAATAGGGCTTCAGGTGACCTTCCTAGTCTTTCTGAGAGGAAAGGAAGATAGTGTTCTTGGCATCCTCATTTTACAGTTAAAGAAAAAGAATCAGAGAAATTAAGTAATGTCCTGAGGTCACACAACCAAACCTAAGTTCCAACCCAAGCCACCAGACTTCAACTCCTGTATTCTATTTCTTATTTAGACAGCCTTGCCACTGATTTATCTAACCAATTCCATATTATGTTTTGGTGGGAAATCTGCCCTTTTTCTATCACTGTGGGCCTGGGGAAATGGGGGTGGTGTTATTAGGACTTCTCTGAGCTTCCCAAAGTATAGAAAAAACAAAGATTTCATTTCTAGCTTTTGGATGAGGGTTTCGGGTATATACGTATTAAAATCTTACTTGGCTCATCTCTGAACTAGTTCGGGGGGCTCTTCCCCAGTCTGCACCTTGGACCCTAATTTCCCATACCCCCTTCCTACCCACAGGAGACTTCAGGAACAGTAAAAGCAACTTTTCAGCTGGCAAAGCTTGGTGACCCTTCTCCAGTCTTCTCCAGCCCATGTGTCCCCAGGGCTGGCCAGTACCTAGCACATCCTGGGCTGTGATGAGAGACTCTCATCCTGAAGGCCCTAACACTGGGTCCAGGCTACTGCAGCCAATGGAGAGTCTATCCCGGGAATCAAGTCTCAGGGAATCTGTGATCTAGTCACACCTCCAGCAGATACCCATTTAAGGCAGTATCTGGTAGGAGCTTTGTAAAAGAGTTGGAAGAAGAAAACTAGTGAGGGGAATGACTGAAGGCTACTACATGAAACAGGGAGTATGGAATTTTGGCAAACAGTATTTTCCAAAAACAACTGCAAAAATATTTCTGGTCCTTTACACTCTTCCAGAATCTTGCCACTCCCCCATCAAGGGAGCTCTTTCCTTTCCCCACAAACTTCCATCAGTCTTGGTGACTGTCTCGATAAATAAACTATAGTTGAAGTGATGCCCTATGACTTCTGAGGGTAGGTTAGAAAAGGTAATAGAGTTTCCACCTGGCTCTCTCTTGGGCATCTGACCTCAGAACCTTGGGTGGAAGGCCAGGCTATATAAAGAGTTCATATGGAGGTATTCCAGTTATCAGTCCCACAAAGGTGTTAGTCGACAGCTGGCATGAACTAATTGCCACACGCAAGAGTCAACAAGCCTTCTGATGATTCTAGTTGCTACCTTTTGAACCACCCCAGCCTTTAAGTCTTCCAGTGGAAGCTTCAGACATCATGGAGCAAAGACAAGCCCATTCCTTCTGCTTGCAGGTCATTTCTCTTAATGGCTCCACTCTTCCTCCTTGCAACTCCACTTTGCCCTCCCCATCCAAGTCCATCAGACATGTTTTTAAAGGTCTGCATCTCAATTGTGCACAGAGTTTGAGCCTTTATCCTTAAGGTTCTCTGGCCTTGCCTTCACAAATCAAGAGGTAAGCACAGCTTACTGAATTTCAGTCTTTGAACATTCCATGGTGGTTAAGGAGTGTGCAGTGGTGGAGAGTAATGGGTTGTAAAGAGAAAGGAAAAAACCTAATTCCCAACACCTTCGTCTTAGTTCTGACTTAGAGCTCCTTCTTCTACTTTAAAAATTACCTGAGCACAGCTAGAACCTCACTGTCAGTGCCACGATACCACTGAATCATTTTACTTCCACTCTGATTAGGTCAAAACCAGAAAAGGAAAAAATATAGGGACTTGTCTAATTTGTACACTGTCGTAATACAAACCCTTGTAATAGTGCCTGGAACACAGAAAGCACTCAATAAATATCTATTGAATGGACACATTAAATCAGAATATCAGAAGTGAGATTGGAAACTTTATGAGCAAGCTCTGGTGATTTGACTGTATTCAAGTTTGAGAACTGTTGACCAAAAGTTAATCGGACCTACATGCAATTGCTTAATCCTCACATCTCTACAAATGTAAGATGTTACTTGGCTGATTCTAAGACATCTAGAAATAGTGTAAATATGGCTCACAATTGCAAATTCCTCAGATAGAAATTTTACTGAATAAATGTAATCATTATCTTCTTAAATTAACCCAAAATAAACCCCTGCACTTAAAAAAGAAAATAAGGTAAACCTATCCTTAAGAAACTCACAATTTAGAAGCAAAGTATTACAAAATATTTGCTTTTAAAATAGAAAAGCTTTTAAACCTTGGTATATCACTCAAACCCTTCTCAATTTGAAAAACTAGAAACAATCATCAACTGTGAGAGGGAGCTCTGGACCATGAGAATCTGGACTAATTTTCTACACTGGCTCCCACAATACTGCCATCCAACTGGGCCCCTGTGACCTTTTCCTTGCCCTACCCCCAAACTGACTCCTCTTCTTCCCAGGAGACTTTTACTCACTTTCTGAATTTTCCTAATCTGGTCAGAGAGTGTATCTAACAGGCGAGTTTTCAGGAAGTCCATCACCTTGACCACTCGGCCATCAATGTAGCAACTGGAATAAAAATAAAATAAGAATCAGATAAAATCTTGAGCAGGAGACTACATACACTTCTTTAGTCAGAGGTCTCTGTTGCCTGAGGAAACAGCCCAGGGTTCACTTGGGTTCTCATATCTTAAAAAGTTAGACCTTGGGTACTTTTCAAATAAATAATATACTATTTATTTATTTATTTATTTATTATTTTATTAAATTTATTGGGGTGACACTGGTTAATAAAACTATATAGGTTTCAAGTGTACAATTCTATAATACATCATCTGTACATTGATTGCATTGTGTGTTCACTACCCAAAGTCCAGTCTCCTTCTATCTTCATTTGTGGGCTAATATTGTGATTTTTTCAACCTTTGTCACATGAAACTGCATTGTTTGCTCTATAGAAATGGACAGGAATCCATGAGACAAATTGGGTAATGGAGAAAAGCTTACATTTCCCTCCTAGGGAAAGTAACTTAACACACCCATCACATATCATCCCTACCCATACTTTAAAGTAATAAAGGTATGTAACAGGTTTGAAAGAGTAAGAAAACATTTTTATAGGTTTCCACACCTTTAAATAAGAAAACAAACACCAACCACAAAAATCTGATTTAGTATAGTGAGTGAATCTTCAAGGTTTTGTCTCCAGCTCACATCCCTGGGGAAAATAACTTGTAGTCAACTTTCTCTTACCACCTCCAAAGTAAATGAATGGTGAATGAATGAGTAAACAAACAAATAAATGAATTGGACAGATTAAAGTCTAGAAGAACTCTCCTAAAACAGTAAGAAGGCACTCCTGGGTGTGGTGGTGTCCAGGTTTTGTTAGGTAGCTTCAGTGAAACATAAGGTTGTGCTGACACTACACTATGAACATTTGACTCCAACAGTTCCATCCAGCTTTGTGAGGACCCTCTTTGTGAATTCTTACTCTCAAGTCTAAACTGAGACCGGCCCAGTGTTAGATGATTTTCATTATCTCAAACCTCTCCACCCCCATCTTTGCAAAATTTCAAATTAAATTAATTTAAATCAATGCTTATGATTCCCAGGTTCCTTTTCCAACCCACTCAGGTCTCCTTGGCTGATGGCTAATGTAGATTATTTCATTTTTAATAACACACCAACCTATCAGTACACATTATAGAACTATGTGAAAATTCTTTTTTAATGTTAATTTCCCATACCAATATATGATGTAGCAGAATAGTTAATTTTTTTTAAATTGTAAAGCAGGCGTTCTGGTTGAAGTGAAGGTGGGAGATGAACTCCACACATTAAACCTTCCCTTTGGCCTCCCTCACTACCAGACACTTCCACAGAATCCAACATTGGTATGTTGGAAAGAGTATGGGTTTTGGAGCCACAGATATCTAAGTTCAAATTCCAAATAAGGTATTTTCTACCTATGTGATCTTGCACAAGATAGTTGGCCTCTATCAGCCTTAGTTTTCTTATTCTTAAAAGACAGTTAACATAGCTACTTCTCAGTCTTAACTAAAGATTAAGCACATAAACCTAAAGTGTCTCCACACAGGAATTCAACAACTCAGTTTTTTTTCCAATTTCTCTTATTTTCAGCTCACAAAAATGGGGTCATAAACAATATGGAGCCAATTAAATTAGTGTGAGTATAGAATTCTAAAAGTAGAATTGTATCAAAGGGTACATGCTTTTGAAAACTTTTGTGGTTATATTAGGGAACAAAACCAAACAATGGCATGACCTTTCACCTCATTCCTGGTACAAATGCTAGACTCAGATCCAATAAACATTTATTATGTGCAACACAGAGTGCTAGGCATGTCCATGTCCATTGCCTCCTATTAGTACTTCACTATTAGCACCTCTGATTTTTTTTAAAAAGTTGTGATTAGACAGCATACGACATGAAAGCTAGGCATATTAAAACAGTGTTAAAATCAGAAATAATTCATGCAATGTTAATCTAACACACACTGAAGGACATGAATACTTGTTACTATTTTACATGATGACTAGGCATATGATAAAACTGCACTGTAATTAATGTTCTTTTATGTTTTTAATCAAATATATTATAGTTTCTTCTTTTCTCTTTGTTAGCTCCCAGTAACTATTTTAAACATCAGAGTTTATAAATTTTGCTGGCAACACATACAGTTAAATACTTATTGAGATAAAAAATACCAGCTGTACTTTTTCAATATGTACGATTCCCTGTGAACACTCTCCCTGTTCCACACAATCCATGGTCCATGGTTGAGGGACCCTTCACTCTTCCCCTCCTTCCTTTTGTTTCTTTTCTCAAGTACATAAAACTTAGAGTTATAAAACCTTAGTTCAATCTCAGCTTTGCCACTTATTACTTATATGATAATTAGGTTTCCCCTTCTTTAAAATTGACTTTGAAAGAAACTATAGTATTTTCTCAGGGCTACTGTACCAATCAAATCAGAAAAAAAATGCTAGGCACAGAACCTAGCACATAAAAAGAATTCAATAAGCAAACCTAGCCTCAGGTTACTAAGAGCCCAAGGTGGCAGTAACCTAGACTGTAACGCCATGGGATGGGGTGAGCGGGGGAGCACCTGTCTGGGGAAGGAGAGCATGTTCACTCACTGTAGGATTTGGAATGGGGGAAGTATAAAGCAGCAAGAACAGACATTCCCAGTAGGTGGGAGGCATAGGGAGGGATGGACAGGGCTGTGATTATGTTGCAAAAATATGGAGCTTGAAAAATCTTTATGGTCATGTTGCCTAAAGTATGTAAACTTGTTACACCATCCCTTAGAAATGATTATCTAAGACAGGAAACCCACTTTCATATACTACTAGTACTATCCCACTATACTACAGCTTGAATCCATGAAAGGCTCTTCTAACATGGGTCTAAAATTTGCTTCCTCTTACTGTCTACTCACTCAATAGCTGTTTTCTTAGACCCAAGAAATAGTCTAATTCCTCTTTCATTTAACATGTAGGGAAAGAATTCCCACAAAATTTTGGCTTAAGCTTTTAGAGCCTATTCTTGGCCCACATTTAACCCAACAAGATGGATTCAATCATTCTTAGTTGGTCTGGGCCTTTTCTGTGGGCTGTGAATTATACTGGAACAAGGGAGAACTCCAGGCAGGAAGTGTGACAAGGTTATCTTATCTCAGTAGTGCAGGTAAGAAGGGATCTGGGTCTAAGTAATGGAGATCACTGAAAGAAGTAAAAGTGAGAGCCTGGGAAGGAAGAACTAATAAAATAAAGCTTCTGTAGAGTGTAAGAAAGAGAGGAAGGGAATCAGCAATGACCACAAGCTTATGAGAGAGAATGTTTTGGAGAACACTGCTGCCAAGGACATGCAGGCCAGTCAGACTAGGTTTTAGGTTTGTCAAAGGAGATGAATGACTGTTTGAAATATCAAGGACACAGAGAATATCAAAGAGGAAATATACAACAGGTAGCTGAAGATATAAAGAGGAGGTACAGAGTGAGACACATAATGCTGACCTGGGTGTCTTTTTCAGTTTTTAAGTAATAAATGAAGCCACGCCTGTAGATCAGCTATCCAACAGAATAAGAAAAGTTAACAGAGATATCAGACACCCTCCAAAATGCTTCTCAAATATGGCCCTGGGCATCACCTCTACCTTTGGCCCAGTTAAGAATCCCTTCCTTCCCCAACCTGACCAACATGGTGTCTTTTTAATAACCTCAGTCTGAGTCATGTTCACATTTGGGTGTCAGAGGAAGCCCCATATTATGCTGAGAAGTTTCAGCAACTTTCATTTGCAACCTTAAACCCACATTTATATTGTACTGTGGAAATAGGAACTTTAGTCCCCCAGAATATAGTATCACTTTTAAGAGGGGATAATTTAACCACAGGTATGAATCTGATAAATACTTAAGCCCTTTTCTTGGGAACCCTTGAACAGTTAGCTTGCTGTACTTAACCCTCCTAACAAAATATTCAACGTCGACAATCTGTGGTTATTCAAAAATTCCTGTCTGTTACAGAGCTTTCATTCTCTGATAGTGGCTGCCTGTAGTAATGGGCCCAGAATGTCATTTAGATTTGGATATGAAGGAGGTGGGTTAGCCTGTGGTAACTATTTGGTAAGAGTTGTTAAAAATGATGAAGATGGTGATTTCTCACTAAGACGAGGTAAAAGTAGAACTGGATTCCAACTGACTGTCCGGTGGCCTGTGGGCAACTGTTTTCTCTGCCTTTCTCATTGGGATCATAAATATGATTCTTAGCTACTAGTCTGTCTCTCACAAGACTTAATTAATTTAGTAATGGCTACAAAGGTGTCAGAGACTAAATAAATCAGAGAGGAAAGGAAGGATAAAGGGAAGGAAAGAAAGAAGAGAGAGAGAGAGGAAATTCATTAATTAGAGGTACTTTGACATCTTCCACACAAATCCTGGCAGAATGGTTGGTTCTAGAAACACTAAGACTGGTACTTTTAGGTAAATCATACTCCTCCTCCAAGCTGTCTTGAAATTTCAGCATCTCTTAGTATCATACCAGAGTGTCTGAGCTGTTCAACTAAAAGTTGAAACCAGGAGAGACTGTACAGAAATAACTTTTCTGTGAGCTATTACAAATGCAATGAGGTTGAAACCTTTCTGTGTGGAAAAGCAATCTGTCTGGCTCAATACCAGCAACCATCACCCCTTCTTCTGCTGACTTGTAGATTAGCAGCTCATATCACATCTGGGGAGGTAGCAAAGATGGCAGAATATACAAAGTAAATGGAACCATTTACCAATTCATTCACCAACTCTCTTGCCCTCCTTAGTTTTACATTTTATTTCCAGTTTAATACCTTTCATCTTATTTAAGGTTTTGCTCTTTACTTATTACAAAAGAAACAAGGCTCATTATAGACAAGTTAGAAAATGCACATAAACAACATTAAAATATAAAAATGAAAAATCAGTGATAAGCCCAACACCTAGAGACCCACTAGTTAACATTTTGCTGTGTACCCTTTTGGAGATTTTCATAATAAATACACATAAAATTTCCC